TAAAGTCCATATACAAATCGTATTTAACAGTAGATAAGTGTATCCATTAAAATCATAAAAAAAAGGTATTTGCTATCATCAAGTTATTAAACATTGCTTAAAAACGCAGAGAAATAATACATAAATTTTCAAAACAATACATAAATAATACAGAAATGAAGAGACGAAATTGTTAATGTTTGCAGATAATGGGTCTACAAAAGAATAAATGTTTTGGGTTGCTTAACCCCAAAGACGATGGTATTAGGAAGTGGGCCTCTGTGAGGTCATGACAGAACTCATAAATTAAATTAGTACACTTATAGAAAAGTCCTCAGAGTGTTACTTTGGCCCTGTTACTATGTGACAATACAGGGGAAAGACATCTATGAACCATGAAGAGGCACCTCTCTAGACACCGAATTTTCCAGCACTCTTGAACTTAAACATCTGGCGTTCGGAACTGTGAGAAATAAATTTCTATTGTTTATAAGCTACTCAGTTTATGATATTTTATTACAGCAGCCCAAAGGAACTAAGGCAAATCCCATTTACAAGAGCATCAAAAAGAGTAAGTTACTTTAGGAATAAACTTAACAAGTAAAGTGAAAGATCTATACACTGAAAACTATAAAACATTGCTGAAAGAAATTAAAGAAGAAACAAGCAAATGCAAAGACATCCCATGTCCAGGCGCTGGAAGATTTCACATGGTTAAGACATGAAGGCTGCAAAGTAAGCTACAGATACAATGCAGTCCTTAGCAAAATCCTGCAGCATTTCTGCAGAATCAAAAAAAAATCCTAAAATTTACACAGAAACCATCCAGAGTCCCAAACAGCAGAAACAATCTGGAGAAAGCAAAAAGCTGACGGCTTCATACTTCTGACTTCTAAATGAATCCTAAAACTCCAGTAATTAAAACAGTTTGGTACTGGCATAAAGACATATAGACCAATGGAACAGAACAGAGAGCCCAGATAATAAAACCATAGATATATGGTCAAATGATCTCTGACAAGGGTGCCATGACTAACACAATTCGGAAGGATAGGGGGCCACAGTGGCTCCGGCCAGTCGTCCTGGCGCTTGAGGAGGCGAGGCCATGAGTTCAAGGCCAACCTGAGCAACGTTACAATGTGGAAGGATAGGCTCTTTAACAAATCGTGTGGGAAAACTGGGTGTCAACATGCAAAAGAAAATTGGAGCCTTATTTTACACCACACACAAAACAAACTCAAAATGGATCAAAGAGTAAATGTAAGACCTGAAACTACAAACTACTAGGGAAAAAACACAGAAGAAAAGCTTCATAACTTGGATTTCTTAATGATAACAAAAGCAGTAATAGATGAGTAGAACTACATCAAAATAAACAGTTTCTGCACAGCAAACAACAGAATGAAACAGCAAACTACAGAATGAGAGGATATATTTGCAAACCATATGTCTGATAAGGTATTAACATTCAAAATGTATAAGGAACTCCTACAACTCAATAGCAAAAACAAAAAACACGCAATTAAAAACTTGGCAAAAGACTTGAATAGACATTTCTTCAAAGAAGACATATGAATGACATCGGTATTTGAAAAATGCTTAGCATTACTAAATATCAGGGAAGTGTGAATCAAAATCACAATGAAACATCACCTCACACCTGCCAGGATGGCCGTTATTTTTAAAAGAACAACAGAATAAGAAAAATAAGTGTCAGCAAGGATATGAAGAAATTAGAACCTTGTGCACTATTGTTGGAAATGTAAAATAATGTGAGTGCTACAGAAAACAGTATGGAGATTCTTCAAAAAATTAAAAATAGAACTACCATATGAGCCAGCAATCACACTTCTGGATACTTATTCAAACAAAGTGAAATGAGGAACTTAAAAATATATTTGCCCTCTCATGGTCATTGTTGCATTATTCACAATAGCCAAGAGGTGGAAACAACCTAAATATCCATCAACAGATGAATGGATAAAATAAATGTACTAGCCAGGCGTGTGGCTCATGCCTGTAAATCCGGCCAAGGTAGGAAGATTGCTTGAGGCCAGGAGTTCCAGGCAAGCCCTGGCAACATGGAGAAACCATGTCTCTACCAAAAAAAACTATTTTTAATTAGTTGCATGTGTGCCTGTAGTCCCAGCTACTGGGGAAGCTAACCTGGGAAGATCCCCTGGGCCTGAGTGCTAGGCTGCAGTAAGCCACAATCACACCACTGCACTCCAGCCTGGGTGACAGAGCAAGATCCTGGCTCAGAAAAATGAACAAAGGCAAATGTGTTACATACATGCACTGGAGTATTATTCACCCTTAAAAAAAGAAGAAAATCCTCTAATATGCTACAACATGGATAAACTTTGAAGACATTATACTAAGAGAAATAAGACAGTAACAGGACACACATTGTATGATTCCACTTATGTGACCTGTCTAAAGTAGCTGAATTCACAGAAGCAGAAAGCAGAATGGTGGTTTCTAGGGGCAGGGGATAGGGGAATGCAAAGTGCTATTCAATGGGAACAGAGGTTCAGTCATGCCAGATGACAAAGGTCTAGAGATCTACTCTACAACAATATGCACACATACTTAACAATACTCTATTATACCCTTAAAAAGGTAAGAAAATTTCATATTATGTAATTTTTTAAATTTTTAAAAAGAAAGCACTAATGTAGCTAAGAATACTTTTATTAAAAAATAAGGGAAATGTTGCTATACTAGTAGTTAAAAATTTTATCAAATTTCTCTATTTAAAGCCATGTGGTATTAATGCTAGAATACAGAAAAGTCAAAGGGGGGAAAAAAAAGACTAAATCCTAAAAACCCAAACATGTATATGTGCTATCCACAAACAGTGGGGGGGAAAAAATGGATTATCAAATAAATGAAGATAAGACGACAGGCTCCCCATTGAGAAAAAATAGAGTCTAACCTTATTTCATGAACTGAAATAAATAGAAGATAGGTGAGAGATATACATTTAGTTTACGACAGGTAAAAATTGTAGACTGAGCAGAATGTTAAAAATAAAGAGTTTTTCTAACTCTCACTAACCCTCTCTAAGTCTTCAATGATATTACACTAAAGTCATACAGAATTTCCAAACACCAGATTCTAGAGGTATTCAGAAATGCACATACCAATGGCAAATAAGTATGCTGTTTTTCATTTTAAGAATACAGTTTTTTTCTTATAGTTATAAATACAAATGAAAACTAGTTGTTCAGAAGAGTAGCATGTTATTATAGGAATAGCAAAGGATTTTAGAGTCTTAAGATCTGACATAAATCCACCTTTGTAAACACAAATGGCAAAATGAATTGTACTTCAATAGATGTTATAAATCCACTAATGATATTTTCAAAGAATATAAATGGAAAGTTCCATTTATCTAGCCAGACAATAAATACTGTGTTGGGCCAAGGACTATATGCTAAAGATTTTTTTTTTTTTTTTTTTTTTTGAGACGGAGTTTCGCTCATTACCCAGGCTGGATTGCAATGGCGTCATCTCAGCTCACCGCAACCTCCGCCTCATCAGTTCAGGCAATTCTCCTGCCTCAGCCTCCTGAGTAGCTGGTATTACAGGCACATGCCACCATGCCCAGCTAATTTTTCGTATTTTTAGTAGAGACGGGGTTTCACCATGTTGACCAGGCTGGTCTCGATCTGTTGACCTCGTGATCCACCCACCTTGGCCTCACAAAGTGCTGGGATTACAGGCTTGAGCCACCGCGCCTGGCCTATGCTAAAGATTTTTAAAATGAGTGAGGAAGCCATGATCTTTGCTGTCCAGAATCTGAAAGTTTAGTGAGAAATGCAAGGAAGGATTACAGTTATAAAATATACTTGATAGAAAGGTACAAAGAAATATGTAAGTATATATATAGCAGGGGAACCTGACTAGTCTATAAGAGTCAGAGGTTTTGTAGGAAAAATGACATTTTAAGCTCATATCTGAAAAGATACATAGGAATTAGCCCAACTTAATGTTTATGGGCCATGGGGTGGAGATACAAACTGAAAAGCTCAGTACTATCAGGGAAGAAAAGGCCCAGGATAGATGGGGGTGAGGGAAGGGTGGGCAGGCAGGATAGGAATTTGGGAATCCACACCCAGAACTGTATATATACTAAAAGCCTAAATATATCTGTATACTTTTGGAAGTATACAAAAGAATATATCAGTGCTTAACTCTGTTCTACATTTCTTATTCATACACTATCATTTACTCTATTATCAAAAGTGTTATTAAAATAATACTTTACCATGTTGCTTTTACTAAAATTTTAGACAAGACTGTTAAAACTCAATTTATTCGTTTGGAAAAGCTAGTCAGATTTAACTTCACAAAGTTGCTGATTGGGATCAATTTAGTAACATGGGCAGGTTGATAATTTTGTGACTGTGGTCTCTGAACCTGACTCAGTATCAAAGTGAGCAGATATAGAATTGGGAAGTGGTTGTAAAAATTGATCAATCAGGAGGATAAAAAGTGGACCTGATAAAGTTGACAAGTTGCTTACCACAGTGACAGTATTGTCACTACCCTCTTTAAAAATGACAATCAGTGCTAATTAATCCTCCTTCCTGCTCCTAAGACCCAATCTTAGAATCCTTAGCAACACAGTGCTTCAGGCAGCCATGTGCAATTAATTTAGAATGCATGTTGCTTGCCATCCTTTGGTATCACTAACCTCAGAATTTCAAGTATGAATACAATCCTACAATTTTAAAAAAAGGTAGCTGGCTATAAAAATGTCTTTTTTAATTTATATTTTAACCTTTAAATGTTCTGTTTCTCTGAAGAAGTATATCTTCTAGCGTGTCCAGAGATTCCAATTTATTAAATATTATTTTGTAAGCCACTGTTATTCATGTTATACCAGAAACAAGAATTTAGAGATTATAGCATTTAAAAATACACTGACGTATATTTACAAATAATGAAGTCAGATGCAAATATGTCTTTAGATTGATTGCTTTTTCACAAAATGGGAAAAATCAATTTCTTACCTTTCCTCTGGAGTATCTACATGAAATGTTCTCTCTATAACAGTGGTCCACTGGAGACATCTGATTATAAATGTGTTTGGCTTTGGTCGTTCTGTTTTCATTAACTGGCATTCTAGGAATAAAATAAAATGTTTCTTTAAATAGGCATATATTTAAACCAAGAAGTAAATAATTGAGAAATCCAGAGTTCTATTTTAAACAAAATCCACTGCAAACTCACAGCTTTCCATGGATCTCCACTTAGGATTATTCACAACCTGACCTTAGCATTCCTTTCCAATCCTTCACCCATTCTGGCCACATTAACTACCTCAACTGGACTATGTAAATTTCCCCAAACACATCTTACTTTTACCAAAGTTGTAAATATGCCTTTGTTTCAGCTGTTCTCATTATCTGAAATACTGTCCCCACTTATTCTACCTCTTCATATGTATCACCTGCAGTCAAAATAATACTGATCCTTCCATGAAACCTTCCATAACACCTGTTCCCAAACTGACCATTTCATCCTCTATATTGTCATTACTTATTACCATATCCCTCACTTGTCACTTACCATAGACTATCTTACAGTATTACTTATCATTTTAAGAAAATGACAAATGTCGCGTATCCTTACCTAGATTATAACCTTGACAATATCAACTGCCTATAACTTAGTATCCAACAGCCCGGAGAGCCAGTCAGTCTAAATGTGATTAAATTCTGTTCATGAATAACTAGGAAAATGTTAAAGAACATGTGCATAGTGTAGTGCCTAAAAGTATGGATTCTGACACTGATGTGCCTGGATTCAATTATTTTTTCATACCATTAACCATACAAACTTGGACGAATTAATTAAACTCTCTGTTCTTCAACAGTTAAGTGAGAAACAATAACAGTATCTGCATCATAGAATTGATGTGGAAATAATAAATTCATGTAATAGGAGCATAACACGAAATACGTAAGCTTTCAATAAGCATTAACTATGATTGGGTATACATCTGAGCTGGGCTTTAAAGGATTAAACGGTATTGGACACCAAGAGAATATAGGGTAGGGCTGTCTGCTGACTCTGCTCTTTTGGAAGAAACTAATTGATCTCACTTGAAAAATTCAAGTCTTCTCTCAGTGCTTATCTGCTGCGTCTTATCTCCATCATTACCAACCATCGACTACCTTTTCTATGTCTTTATAGTTCCGAGTCATTAGCTGCCTTATTTATTTATTTATTTATTTTTGAGATGGAGTCTCACTCTGCCGCCCAGGCTGGAGTGCAGTGGTGCAATCCTGCCTCACTGCAACCTCCACCTACCGGGTTCAAGTGATTCTCATGCCTCCCCCACCAGAGTAGCTGAGATTACAGGCATGCACCACCATACCCAGCTAATTTTTCTATTTTTAGTAGGGACAGGGTTTCACCATGTTGGTCAGGCTGGTCTTGAACTCCCGACCTCAAGTGATCCACCTGCCTCAGCCTTTCAAAGTGCTAGGATAACAGGCTTGACCCACTGTGCCTGGCCCCAGATTAGCTCTTTATTGGCCCTTTACACTGAAAGAAATCATTCAACCAAGGATCTCTGCCTAGTTTTTCTTTTCTTACAAGTTTTCATGTTTTCAGCAATCAGCCCTAAAAATCAAAATCCAAACTTTTAAGACACACATGTCTAAACCCATAGTGAATTTACCTGGTTGAATTACTGAACCACCCTAAAACCAAACTCAGCATCTTTCCCCTAAAATTCATTCCCCTCCTGGCTTTCATAATTTTTCCATCACCCAGATTGAAACATAAAGTGATCTTCCTTTTTGAGATTGGTGCCATTGGCAATTACCAATGCTCCTCGACTTATGACTGTGTTACATCCCAATAAACCCACGGTAAGTCAAAAATATTGTAAGGCAAATGCATTTAATACACCTAGACGACCAAACATCATAGGTTAGCCTAGCTGACTTTAAACATGCACGGAACACTTCCATCACCCTAGAGTTGGACAAAATCATCTAACACAAAGCCTGTTTTGTAGTAGAGTGTTGAATACTACACATACATGGGTGTCTTGTCAACATGATGAGATGTGAAAACACAAAGCATAAGAGCATCCAGAAAAATGCTGGCAACACGGTACACTGTAGAGTATCTACTGTGCATGTTGTGATCACATGGTTGACTGGGATCTGTGATTTGCTGCTGCTGCCCAGCATCATTAGGGAGTATCATATAGCAAATAACTAGCCCAGGAAGAGACAAAAATCCAAAATTTGAAATACAGTTTCTCTTGAGTGTGTATTGCTGTTAGGACCATAGCAAAGTAAAAAAAAAAAAAAAAAAAAAAAAAAAAAAAAAAAAAAAATTATATTGAACTATTGTAAATGGGAGACCATTCATAACTGGTTTTCCACTTCTGTAATTCTCCTTTAGATTCTCAGTATCCAGTGCCTAAACCTTCCAGCTGCCCTAAGACCAGATTCTTCCTATTTAGAGATGTTGAGAGACTATAAAGACAGAAACTACTCTGGGAGACATCTGAACATGTCCAAAAGTGAACTCCTCCTGACCTCTCTCAACCCTGCTCCTCCTCCTGCCAACCTCTACTGTGGCTTTCTCTATCTCAGATAATGACACCTCCAATCTTTAAATTGCCCATGCTGAAAACCCGAGAATCACCTTGGAGTCCTCTCTTCTCTGACATCACATTTACTCCTTCTGCAAATCCTGGTGTTTCCACTTTAAAAACACAACCAGTTTCTGATAACTTCTCACCACCTCCACAACCTCAGACTAAGCCATCATTGTCTCTCACCTGATGATTCCAAAAACCTTAGAATAGCTTTCCCCTGCCCCTAACTGCAGTCTCTTCTCAACACAGCAGCCAGAAATCTTAAAATGAAGATCTGCAACAAAGTTCTGCAGTGTTTCAGTTCACCAAGAATAGAAGACTAAGGCCTTTAAGTGATCAACAGGTGTCCTATGTAATCTGACCTTCCCACCAACCCCACTGAAGTTTCCGACCTATTTCCCTAGTATTCTCTTTCAGGCTACCCTGCCAGCCACCCTGGCTTCCCTGCATTTCCTCAACAATGCACTACACTCTTTCCGCTTTAGAGCTTTTTGTTAAATTGTGCCCTCTGCCTAGCATTCTTTTCCCCGTCACACACCTGCACAGCTGTCTACTTTAACCATCCTATTTAATACTGCAATTTGCACCCCTCACCTAGGACTTTCCCTGCATCTTATCTGCTCTACTTTTTATTTTCCATAGAATGTAACCATTTTCTAATATTGGTGATGAAGTTTTTTAGTATCCTTTTTGCTTATTGTCTTTTCAACAAATTGTAAACTCCACTCATATATTCTTAGCACTTAGAACTGTGCCTGACACATAGTACTCAATACATATTTTCCAAATGAATGAATTCTGATAGTAATAATCCAACAAAAAGGTAATTTTGATGACACTAAAAGATAATTTCTGGAGCAATCCTCCTTTGTAAGCAAGAAGGGATTAAATTTACTGGACAAGTAAAGAGGTGGCTCTAATCAGGAGTATAAATAGTTCAGTGATGAACTCAGAGAAAAGAAGATATAAGGGCCCAAATGCAATGAGGAGTATAGAAGCAAGGGGAAACTGATAGAAATTATTTTCTCACTGCTTCTATTTTGTCAGCGAATTAGGATGCAAGGCCATCGGAAGTAAGGTTACAAAAGGATCCACTGGGCTCTGAAAAAAAAAAAGGTATGAAACAGTACTCTGGGAAAATGAAAGTACAAAGAGACTAGGGAAATATGCCATGTCTGCTGAGCAGCATTAAGGACCAATCCGAATTTAATAATGAAGAATTTAAAGTAATAACAGAGATCATGATTGTATATTTTCTCCCAGATATATTCAGCTGCATGTGTACAGGTGAGGAACATAAAGAAATGAATTTAAGCAAGGGTGTATTTTAACCAGGTAAGTCTGTGAAAGCAAGAAAACAGAAAAGAATAGAGGAAGCAAGGCAAGGGAGTAATTACGATAATCCACTAAGAAATTTAAAATGGGTATGGAGGGAAGTGAGAACCTGGGGACGTGTAAGATAATGAAAAGGTGGTAGAATCAATAGGTCATAAATTCTATTGTAACACAATTAAGCTTTGTATAGTAGTGTTATATATTTTTTAAATATGAAAGTTTAAAAATACCAAATATAGTACTCCATAAAAAAATAAGCAATAAAAATACTGTTCATTTGAAAGATATAAGTTTTGAAATATCAGACATTATACTAATTTATACTAACAAAGAGCCAACCAATTCCTGTGACTGACTGAGCCCATCAGTCTGATTCTCTTTGAAGCCCACTGTTCCTCCCGATATCTTTCTTTTTGAAGCTCCTATTAAATTTCCAGCCTGTGGTTCACTACATTGTCCTGCATGTGTTTAACAAATGTTAATTTGGTCTTATAGCTATATTACTTAATGGCATTGTGTGCACAAGTCTTCTTACAGCACCTAGGACAGTGACAGCACATAGGAGTATACAATAAACACTTGATGACTGGGCAACTGATTGACTGGCTTTCAAGTAAACAATGGAGGACAGACACTGAAAAGAGGGGCAGGCCCAAGAGAAATACTCAAGAATAAACTATGGGGTACAGAGAAATACAGCAAAGAAGCAAAGAAAGAATGCCCAGTCTGAGGTTCACTATTTCAGTTTTACTTCAGGTTCCCATGACGATGACCGAAGGTAATTAAGACAATGGACTTTGAAATCAGAGTAAGAAATTCAAATTCAGGCTCTAATACAATCAGCGTGATCCTCTTCGAAGTATTTTGTATCTAAGCCCTCAGGTTCATCATCTTTAAAAGCTATATTATGAATTAACTATTTTCAAAACTATACCTAAATGATATAATTTAAAGAACTTCTCAACACTAGAATTTTAGAAGCTACTTAAAATACTATGTTATCAGATTCCAAAAATTAATTACTATAATTTATAAGCCTGCGAAAAACAACGATAAAACATATTACTTTACCATTCTCAAGCAGATCACTGAAAAGGAATGGCTTAGAAAAGAATACAATATTTGTATTTATGTATGGAGTGGTTTGGAAAAATATTAGAATGTA